TGAGCCTTTTGACCATGGCACACTGTAATTCAGCTGTTCATGATGTCAGTGAACTTGATCAGGATCAGGTGATGATAAATGCTGCTTGGCAAAAACCCAGACACCCCTACACTATTTTCATAGAGCAGCTCTAGGCTCAAGGCATTGGACTTGGCAAAGGTTAACTCTTGTCTAAAGACTGATAGTCTTTGTGGTTGTGTTGCTATTAGGATTTTACTGCCTTAGTCTTTACGATGGAAAACGTCCTAGCTCCGTGTCTCAGTACTGTGGAGTGGGAAGTTCTATAGTTCTTGGTATAGCTTAAGTCAGCATTGTTTAAAACTTGGGTGGATACATATGGTCAGATTTTTCAGTGTTCTATTAACCTCAGATTTTTTTCCATGTAACGTACCTTCAGTAGTCCTGGGCACCAAGTGGATGAAAGGGGAGGTAGAACTCTGCTTTGATCAAAAGGACTGAAGCTTAGAAAAATAACAACCTCTTATCTGACCTTTTGCAGTGGGGAAAGGAGTTTTCCTTCAGTAAACGACATAGCAAAAATCTAAACTCCTAGCAACTGAAGTTTAGAGCATGTTTGCCTTCTTTCTTGCTTTTTATAATTGTAGGAAATGGGGAGGTAGCTGCTTATGTCAAGCCGGGAAGGAAACAAACCACTGGCAAGGTTTCTGCAATAACAGTGGACTGCTAGAGCCAGTTTCTTGTACTAAAGGACAGCAGGCTCTTGCGTTAAGAAAACCATAATACTTTTTTATCCACCCTGAATGCTACTTACTGTAATACCCCAGAGCTCCCATTGTCTGACTGTAAATGTAGCCAAAGGGTGTAGTCTCTTGACAAAGATTACAGCTTGTATGAAGAGATAGTAAGAAGCTTGAATTTAGCTTCTAAGAGTCAAGGCCACAAACTTCTATCAAAAGTGAGCTGAGTGCTTTTTCTCACTATATTTTAATGGAAATAGTTGTATCAAGGCTACCATAACCTACTTGAAAAGACAACATCAAAGTAGGTGCTATGGCAACAGTGCAGTTTTATTCCCAGTCTGTTAGGAGTGGGAGACATGGGCAATGCAGTGCAGCTGATGAGTGTTACATTGGCAGATGAGGGAATGAATCAAACTTACCTCAAACTATCCTGGACAACTACAGCTGTGGAGTTTCTGCAGTTGTAGGGGTGGACTGGGCTGCAGTGACATTCAGAGTCAATCTTGTAGAGTGTCAGCATGCTCTTTGAAGGAACCCAAATGCTATTTGCATTCAGTTCATGTCTGGAAACAAATTCGTAGGAGCCAATCTGGTTATTTGCAGGACTTTTTCCACTCACTGGATAAATTAATCTAGTCTAGATAACAGAGCACTTAAAATTACTTTGAATTATAAACTAATGTATTTTTAAAAAAGTATCCTCCTGCATTTAAGGTAACTTGTATACCAGAATGGCTGCGTTGGAGAGTTGTGTATCTGAAGCTGAATGGACGGTATTGACTAGTACTCAAACTACTTGCATTCTGCCTGTGAAAGTCTCCTCACTTGTATACATAAACAATTTTCAGACTTCTAACTGGGCATAGCTCAGGGATTGACCATAGTACCAGCTAGAAGACTGTTATCTCGTTATCCAAGCTACTGTCTTAGGACTGTCATTTGCTTCTGAGGTGAATTGGGAACCTCCTGAGCTTGGAGTTGGACTTGTAGTTTGAATATGTTATAATAACATAAATGTAGTTGAAGAAACATGCTTTCTGTGAATACAGGTTTTGCCCTGAAATCTATTAGCAGGCAGCCACTGCTTCCCATTACCAGTTTGAACACTAGCCAAATGACTGTAGGAACTCATTTGGCATCTGAGTGGAAGAATGCAGGAGTGACTTAAGGATCTAGATTTGTCATCTGCTGTTTAACTATCTAATTTAACTTGGCACCAGTTCTGACAATGTTTATTCTGGTGTACTGGCTTGGCCATTAACTCACTCAGCAGAATACAGACTGTTAGTTTGACTGTAGTCAGAGAAAGCCTAATAGGTGTATACATAAAGTCTGATACAGAAATAGTGCTAGACAGAATCTGTCTTGTCTTAGTATCTTTCTATGCTTAGGATTTTGGGCTATGTGGGACTTCTGCAGAGCTGGTTTATTGGTCCTTCTGGAAAAATGCTTTATCTGCAATTCTGACTAGTGACTTTTGGTTGTCTAATGTCTTAGGTAATTCATAATCCTTTCAGGTTGAGGACTTGCATTCAAACTGCTAGGAGGCATGACTTCAGACTAGGAAGTTGTTGAAAATGCTTTTCATAAAAATGAGACTTATTATTACACTGTAGAAGAAACAATTGCTGCAGTAATTATGCTGGATTTATCAGAGGAATGAGCTGTGCTCCAGGGGCTGTGCCAAACTGGGTCATGAGTTTCATGACAGTAGACTTAGCAGGTCGGCAGGCTGGAAAACTGACGCTATAATGCTGAATGAGCATGGGGAGAAATGTTTGTAAAAGTGAAACTAGCCTGACTTCAAGTTTTGTGCCTTAGTCTCATCTCTATTCTAGCAGGCAAACAAAGCACTAACAGTGTTCAGAATAGCTACTGGCACCTCAGTGACTAAACAAGGATAACTCTCAACATAAACTGTGAAGCTGAGAATAACTTTGATATGCCGTATGGTTTTGAAGTGACACTTCAATAGAAATTGAAAGTTTCTGTTGACACCTTAGAGTTGTCTCCTTCTACCAAATTCTTGCCCAGTGATAGCCTGTGCTTCAGCAGCTGACTGGCTTGCTCATTGAAAACCATCTATCCGTGGTAGATGGAGGCAGCAGGACATGCAGAAACCTTTCCTACTGAAGGAAAAAGTGGCCTGCTCAAACAGAGTAATCCTTAATGAGAAAGGCACATACAGTAACTTCAGGTGTGAATATATCCTGAGTTAAAAATAGGGACCTAAGATGTAAATAGGTTAAGCAGTATAAAACAGGACTTTCAAATTGCTTTTTTAAATAGACCCTTTCTAACAGCTCCATGTCTGAAGAACGCTGCTCTATCAGTGCTAGTTTCTGGAGGAAGGAGAATTGCTGCAGTTTCTGGGTTTTAAGGAACATGAGGTTTAGAAGCTGATCTCAACAGATAGCTCTAATTCATATCCAGACCAAAGGACAGGGGACATACTTCCCTTTAGCATGTAGTTGTCAAGTTGTAAGCCACTTAATTTAATGGCACCTTTCTAGCATACACTTCAGTTTGAAAGTTTCCAGTGCTTAAATTGGAGAAGGTTTTTCAACTTGAAGGGAAAACAAGTAGTCTAACTGTCCTTTTCTCCAACTTGTTAGCTGGGCTAGCATGTCAAAAATTCAAAAGGGAATGTAGAAGGTAAAATGAGCTCAATTGGCACTTCTACCCCCACATTGTACCTGTAAGCCTGATATGTTGTTTAGAGATTAACTTTATAGACTTCATGCCCAGAAGCATGAAAAGAGTTCCTGAAGACCTGGGAACTCATTGTTTTTTAGCTGCTTTTATTCAGTTCTAATCCCTCTTGTAAGTAACTTGAGACAAGAATGGAATATTTTCTGCAGGTGAGAGCCTAGATGTTAAATATTGTAAAGGACTTTCTACCCGAGACACTGAAGGTTGAACTTGGTTAAAAATCCAATAGCTGAAATCAGAGAAAAATAATCCAGTACTTCACTTCTGGGAATCTCCTTCATGCACTCTGGGGAACCTAGCTTTATTCACTCTTGTGTAGAGTATTCTTATCCTCAAGATGAGTGTTTATTTATAAAGCTTGACTTCTGGCATAATAGTCTTAGTGCAATTTTAATATTAGTCACTGGTACAATCAACAATGTTTTACCTGGGAAGGAGAGCTTGAATACTTTTAAACATTTAGCAATAAGATTTTATAACAAAATACAGTTCTGTACTTTATCATCTGTAACTCATGGACTAAATAGCATAATGTGAAAGTACACAACTAACTTCTCAAGTACTTTTGAACTATGACAGCCGAAAACTTGTTATTGGCTGGCAGTAATACAATGGCCTGTAGTCATAGGCCTGCCTAGTGCAGGAAAGTATCTCTGCAATTAAACCTGTTTTGAGCAGCCAAAAGTATCACTCAATGATAGCTTAAGCATAACAGCCTACAAATGATATCGTACAGGAATATCCACTCAAAATGGGACCAGAAGCTGAGTGAGATGGCTTACAACTTAAAATAAAACAGCAAAAAACAGAAGGCACTGCTGAGAATGACTACTGTGCTTCTGCCAACAGGAAAACTGTGGATAACTGTAGTCCCATGTGAACATCAGCTTCCTACAGTATTCCTCGAGAGTCTTCTTTCAAGGTGTATAAGACAGCAAATATGCAGTCTGACAACAGTAAACTTTATTCTGTTAGTGCTGGTTATGTATGGCAATTAAAGACTCTTGGTCTTGCTTTTAGTAGGTCATAGCTCCTGCAAACATTTTTGTAACACTCTAGCCAGTTTGCCATCTCAACAACATTTAAGCTTCAGATTGTGATCTTGGAGCTTTCCATTTTGGGGATGTCATTAGGAGAGTGCTTTCCCGATGTCTACTCTTAAAATAACATGCAAGTTGGATTACAACGATGGGATAACCCTACACCCCAAGAATGAATAGAAGTAATATAGGCTGTTATACAAGTTAGTGTAAGGACACCTCCCAAAATGCTCATATATTTAACATGATCTTGTGTGGCATTATAGCCTGGCTCCCATTTGATGTCTCTTTCAAGGGGGTTAGAGTTGGGTACTGACTCCTAGTCTTGTTTAGGAAAGTTCTGCCTCATCAAGCTCTGCTTGGTTTAACTTTGTAGCAAAACAGTCTCATCTCATCATCAGTGAATGTTGTGTTGCATCTCAGCCTTGTTGGTTTCTTTGGAGCTATCCAAAATTGGCAGCTTGTACTAGGAAATCTTCAGCTTCATCTGTCCTGAATCGTTTCACTGTAGGACTTACTGGTTTTGCTTTTAAAGATGTTGGAGGCCATGTTGTATCAGGTAGCAGAAAAGTACAGGAAGCTTGGTTAATGTCCTATGCTGGTACCTGAAACACTCCCTTGAATGCAATAAGAGGAGCCTGTGTGGATTAAGAAGGCTTTTTCTTACCCCCCCGCCCTGATTTTGTATGTATGTTGGCATTGGGAATCCAGCTCCTGCGACAGTAAGAATAGAAGATGCTTGTGCAACCTTAAAAACATCTCCTCAAGTGACCAGCAAATCTGCTATTCTGCTAGGTGATATGGTGGCAAAATACCAGTGATTAGGATGCCATATAAATGAGGCCCACAGTTAAGCAGTTTGAGGCACAGCTTACTCATGTAGCTTACGGAAATACAGATAAAGCTCTATCTTGAGTGTTTCTCAATGCTGCTTGTTGTTGCTGAAGTGGAACTAATTTGTAACTTAACAGCTTGTTTCTTGCTTCTGCTTATCAAAACTTCTAATTTGTCTAATCAATAGCTTATGTTCTTGTTTTCAGACAAATCTACCTATCTTCAAATTGAAAGAATCTACAGTCAGAAGAAGATACAGTGACTTTGAATGGCTAAGGAATGAACTAGAAAGAGAAAGCAAGGTGGGTAAAATGAAAGGTAAATACAAGTCTTCATAGACATATAAGGAGTAGTGATGCTGAAATGTTATCATTACGTTATAAAGCATATATATCATACAGAGCAGATACTGTGGTTGAAAACATCCAGAACTAAAACACTGTCTTTCAGCAAACCTCAGTTGTACAATGCTGGAGGCTGTTTAATGGGTTTGAGTTAATTCAGAGTTAAACTACTTGACTTCAACTTACCTCTATGGCAGATACTGTTATTCTCTGGTCATGTTTTATTACTTCACTAGGGATGTGATTGATGAGTTGGGTCCTCTAGGAAGAAGAGGTGGCACAGGAGATGTATAAACTTACTTACAGGCTGCACTTAAGGATACTTTTTTAAATCTTTCAGGTTGTGGTACCACCTCTACCAGGAAAAGCTCTTCTCCGTCAGCTCCCTTTCCGAGGAGATGATGGCATATTTGATGATTCCTTTATAGAGGAAAGGAAGCAGGCTCTTGAACAATTCATAAACAAGTAAGTGTTGGGTCTAGTTATCTGGAGACAAACCCAGAATTTGGCTCCAGAAAATGGAATTAAAGCTGCTAATCCTCTAACTATGGTAGTTGCACTAGGTTCAGAATAATAACTTTGACATAATCTTGCAGTAGGACATACTAAGATTGCTCATCCAGTATTTAGTTTGGATATCTTAATGCGTACCTGAACAGCTGAAATTAATGTTAGTGTTGTTGTTAATTTATGCAAATGACTACTAAATTACAGCATTCAAAATAGTTCTACTTTTTCATTTCTGAAAAGGTATCCTGCATTGGATGAACAATGGAGCTTACAATGGGCTTACAGCAGTTTACTTTGATTGCAGATGTGAGGTATTATCAGCTTGTGTAATGATGCATATTTTCTCTAATCATCATGAGAATCTTTCTGAAATGTAAAAACACTACCTGAGGTATGCACATATATAGTTTGAAATAGACACTTTGGGTTTTGTCACTGCCTTTCAAAGGGTGAGCAGAAATTATAGTAACAAAGTCTTATTCTTTTTCTACCATCTGACACTAGTAACTGCTCTCCATATAGTCACCTGAAGAGCTGCTTTAATCTCTCTAACAATGTGGATCCAAACAGTGGGTAAGAAGGAATACTGTCAGTTAACCAGTTCTTCTGGTCTGTAGAGCCAACACTGTTCAGACCAACTGGATTTGGGACTGCTCCCTTTAAAAGTTCAAGCTTGTCAGTTCCACTAGCATTTTAATCTTGTTCAATAGTAATGCTGTTTAACAGGGACAGGGGATGTCTGTGAGTTAGATGAAGCCAGAACTTCATCTGCTCATCAGTTATTGTTAGTCAGTTCAGGCATGTGGCTTGGAGTTGCAAGTAACTAGTTCACTAAAACTGTCTTGTGCAAGTAAGCTAAGTGTGACTGTATGAAATCTCTTAAGTTTTTCTTTAGAGTTGCTTGTTAGCTCAATTTAGCAGTATTGCTGATGGTTCTGAGCAGGTGAAATGCTTCAGAATGCTTTTTCCTCTGTTCAAAGGCAAGTGGAATGAATTTCCAAGGCATCTGATTTACTCTACATGAAGGCAGATGTGCTTATAGTAAGATGGAATGTGTTTTTGTTCTTTTAAGGCTATATAATCAAGGCAGTCAAGAGTGTAAAGTACAACTTTTATCCATGCAGGCTTGGAACTCTACATTAAATGTGGAAGAAGTGCACTTACTGAAAGTTTTGTATGCTGAGTCTAGCAATATGTGGGGGAAGAGGGCTGTCTGTGTTCTGAAGCAGCTGACAGTGCAACAGTCATCTTAACTGGAACCCCTGAAAAACTCAATATAGCAGACAGAAATGGAGTGGCCAGTTTACTGGTATCACTTGTTCAGTCCTACAGCAAGTAATACATTGATCTTGTGGAAATGTAGAACTTCTTGGTCAATTTTTCCTCCTTTGAAACATAAAAGCAGGCTGTTAATGTAGATATTGATGTAGTGGCAGACTTGAGTACAGCTGGAATAAGATTCTTCAGACAAAACTCCTAGCTATTCAACCTCATCAATTTATTCTAATGGCATGACCAACTCATCAAGCAAATATTACTAATTAAAGTTTTGAACCATGTAGAAGCTTTAAGACTTCTACCAAGTACTCTGGGTACTAGTGAAATTAGTCCTGAAGTTAATTTGCATAGTACAGTCACATTACTGCATTCTCAAAGCTGGTTTTTGCTGCTAGAAATAGAGAAGAATCCCTCAGATAGCTGATATCACTGTATCCAAAAAAGATCTTGATGCACCAATGCCAGTTCTTGATAACCAGGATGTTGTTGAGAAGCTTTGTCCCTCTAGATGGGAGGGGAGTTGAGGGACTAAATCACCGCAGTGCAGCTTATTTGAGTCAGCTTTCTTGGGCCAGCTTGCTCAGCCCACCGATGCTACCTACAATGACATTCACGGGGGTAGCTATGTTGCAACACACTTGTCTGCCTGAACCTGACTTTGGGATACACAGAGCAGCTGCTACTTCAAAAAAATTTCATGTAAGGTTCACCTTAGAGAAGAATACTGAGGAAAAGCCAATGCAGAGTGAGGTATTCATGTGAAACCAAGAGCTGAGTCTGAGAGATCAGATCTAGTCTTGCAATTCAGCCACCAATTTGCAAGCCTTCCTAAAGGGAGGAGGAATATGCTGCTGCCTTGTCATCTTCTCCTGTATATCTTTCTCTTGAAGTTCAAGGCCAGCAACTTCAGTCTGATGGGGGTAAGAAATTAGTTATTCCAGAGAGACTGCTGCCCATTTACTAGAACCTGGCAAGTTTGATAGGTTTTATGACTGCACTTGAGATAATCTATCAATGCTGAATAGGAGAGCTCAGCTTCCTCATTAAAGGACACTCTCAATGACAAGTGAGTAGTGACAAGTGAATCTGTCCTATGGTGAAATAAGCAGTAATAGAGACATTTGGAGAAGATGCACAAAAGTGCGTGTAAGTACTGATGCTGAGCCACTGGAGTTGACTATGCATTACACGTGTTCAACTAGATAACTTCCGTTTAGAGTAGAAATGTTCTGACACATATGGAGGCCATAAGGCTGACACAAGCTGTCCTAGGGAGGATGGGGGACTTTTTCTCTTAAAGGAAGAAGCCTGTCTTGACTGACCAAACTGGATGTAACTTTTTTCCAAACCAAACTGGTTTAGGTTTTCATATCCATAACTGATCAACTTCCAGGGATTCCGATTTTCTTGGATTTTTACCTACACAGAAGGCTGCATGTTACTTTAAGGGTTTAAATGCAATACCTTGTGGTTTTCTCCCAAGCTTGGGAGTATCTTCTAATTCAATTTCAGCTCCTTTTACTGTTAAAAGGATGGTGGCTCAGTCTATATGTGGAACAAACTAAATCTACAGTAGAGGTGCTGGTCTCTTTTAGAGCAGACAAGCTCTGTGTCTCATGTTTCATATCTAAAGATATCTGTAATTAACAGAATGGCCAGTACTCTCTGGCTGTGCATCGGTGCTGCTAGAGGACTACTGACCATGGTAGGTCACTGCTCTAAACAGTGTCAGAGCCTTCAGAAGACCTTCACACCCCCTGGTGGAGTAAGTCTTTAACTCTGCTTGGGCTAACCGCTATTGAATTAGACTGAGAACTGAGGGGTTAAGCTGCTTTTAGAAAGGTGTCCTGTGTCAAAGGCATCAAGACCTGTAAAAATCTGCTTGGCTTGCTTAAGTCCGGACTTCCTAATGCTAGGATGGGCACTTTGATAGTCCCCTCAATTGCAGGTGACAAGACGATGACACACATTGTCCTGGTTTTGGCTGGGATAGAGTTAATTTTCTTCCTAGTAGCTGGTGTAGTGCTGTGTTCTGGATTTAGGATGAGAATAATGTCGATAACACACCAATGTTTTAGTTGTTGCCGCGCAGTGCTTACACTAGTCAAGGACTTTTCAACTTCTCCTACTGCCCTGCCAGTGAGGAGGCTGGAGGTGCACAGGAAGCTGGGAGGGGGCACAGCCAGGACAGCTGACCCAAACTGGCCAAAGGGA